GATCTGTCCTTTTGACCCCTTCACTCATGTGCATATAAGAGAGCAATTATCACGGATGACTGGGCATTCAGAATGTAAAAGGGGTACTAGAAGAATATATGCGTATTATTATCGTAATGTACTGTGACTCCAAAAGATAGAAACAAAGTGAAGGCGTATTAAGAGTTCTATGCCATATGCAACCACAGGGAATAGAAGAAATACTATTCTGCATTCATTAAGATTGAGTTAAAAGTTAATGGTGTTATAATGAGAGGAATTATATGATAATAGCCTCAGGTACGGGAGGAAGGGGAGGCATTATTAGACCACAAACATGTGCAAAAATTATGGTGTAAAGGATGGATTATAAAAAGTAGGAACTGAAGACAGGGCATTCAGATATAAAAACACACATAGCGTTATATACATATATATAATATTTATTATAATTTTCTGTTTATTTTTTTTCGGAATTTTCTGGGAAATGAAAATCTTGCGTCACAATGTCCGATGATTTAACAATTATTTTTTATAATGTATATATTTGGATAAACATGATATATATAAATATTCGAACACATAAAGTTTATCTTAACCTTGGATTGTTTTTGAAGTTTTGATCTTTGAAACTTTGTAAATAAAAAGTTGTTGTACATATTCGTAAGATGAACATTCATATAAAATAAGTTTTTTTTGTTAGTATTTTTTTATTTATTAAGTATGTTTATCGAGCTATTAATGTCATACCTGCAGGTGTAGTGCACATGATGCAGGTTAAAGTGTTAAGAAACTGTATATGAAGACACAATGGAATCTGCTGCCTGTGGCAGTTTAATTTCATAGCTCCTGCATGTGTCAGGTAATAAGTAGATTTCTTTTAAAGACAAATTGTCATAGACCTTCAATGTTCTGCAATAATGAAATGCTTGCAATTCACTTTGCAATGTGTATGCATTTTTAAATACAAGCAAATACTTTAACAGCCAAGGAATATGGTATAATATAGGATAATAGGAATAAGTATTTTCTTTCACAGTTATACAGAATTTAGATTATTCATGTTTAACATTTAAATGTCAAAGTTTATTGTAAGACTTATCAAGTGAAAGCTTTTTAATATAGTCTATAATTGCAATTAGGAAAATAGAATTCCCAGGATCTCTTTTTCTCCAAATTCAACTAAATACCAATGTGTTAACCACCCTCTGCCCGTATCAAGCTTGCAGGATGTGTGATGAATAGGCAAGAGTTCTGGTGTGTACCGGACACCGTAGACAAAGATAGGGCTACACCTACAGCATTTTGGACAAGGCTAGATATGTACGGATTGCCACAAATAGTACAGATCAAAAAATAAAATAAAAAAAGAGGCAGAGATATTTTTGTTAGTTTTGTTGGATGGTACCAAAATAGTTTGTCTCAATTATAAACCTAAAATAACCTAGATAATAATAGCAAATACAATAAAATGTGAAAGGCCTCTCCAGTCTGAATGCCTTCTATGGAAGATACTTATTGTTAGATAAAGAATTATGTTGGACATGCTTAGAAGGTAAACAAGTGTATTCCAAGATACTCTTTTGGAACACCTTTAAACATTTTTTTAGATTTTGTCATTTTCATAGAATACGTAAGAATGAATGCATGATAACACCAATTTAAATAAAATACTTTTTGTTACATAGTCAAATGGACTAACACATACTCATTGGAACTGGATTAATGGCTACAGAATTCACCCAGCATCAACGTAGATATAATGTAGCTGCTCGATGAAGGTGTTAACTGGTGTTTCTGTCCCCCCAATGCTATCTAGGTGTTGTCCTAAATATGTCAACAAGTTTTCAGTTACAGGCTACCACATCTCATACAATACTAGCTTCTATATTGAAATGCACTTAATCAAATTTTTAGAAGTGAGAGATATTGGACTTGATTTTCTCACATGCAATTCCCTCCCCATTCTTTTCTCACATGACATTGTCTTTCTCACTTAAATGTATCTCATTGTTTATCTCTGTATGTGACCTCCTCTCTTTGTTTCCTTGAAACATTCGCTGTGGTGGTCAATAACAGAGGATACAAAATACGTATAGCTTTGCCATAAAGTATTGTCACATTGTGCTGCTTCTGTCTTACAAAATAACAGGAGTTAATCAAATTTAGATTATTTCAATGCAACAATGGACTTCCTTGGGGATTGCTCAATTGCCTCCTGATGTTCTGTTAAAGGTTTAGGATAGGATAAGATTTATTTTCTGAAAAATGCTGAACCAAGAACAAAGACCTCTCTGTACAAACAAAGCCTCCCCTGAAATCTTCATAAAACCAGTTCCTCTTATCTAACTACACATATTCCATCTGCTGTACATCTCTCTGTACAATTGTTTATTGCCTTTAAGTCCCTCACACAGCTATATCTGTTTTAGCAAAGCAAAGTCCATACATAAACCTCTTATGTTCTACTTTTATCAACTGCTTTCTTATTACAGTATAACTTTACTGGCCCCAGCATAAATCACTGACTATTTTAAAGCATCATATTTAATTTTATTATTTCTTTGTTGTGTACATATAAGAGAGGATACAAATGTTTGACAGATTTTTCAAAATATTCTCTTTTTAGCCATAATCAGTTTTTCAGGGGTATTTTATTTCCCACTGGGCAAGTAAATGAGATTCACTCTACTGATATCAGAGTTTTAATCTCTAAACATTGTTGCATATACCTCAATAAAGGTGTACATTTAATAATATTCAACTTTCCACCAATGTGGTTCTCCCCAAAGAAACCAGCCTGCTACAGTGGAACCTATCAGACACTATTTTGTGCTAATCTTCGTGGACTTGTCTCTGCATTTGATATATTGAAATATGATACATTCTTATTTCTCCACAAGCTTAGTACACAGACTTATTATATTACCTTTACCACGCCAACATTTTTACTGTGTTTTCAATGATGTCTACAGCTGCTCTCCACTCACAGTGCTTGTTGTGGTTCAAAACAAAACACTATATCCCAAGGTGCCTCAAAAGTGGATATCTAGTACATATATAAGGTACACTGTAAAATGTAGGAAGATTCCCCATTATCTTCTGAATACCTATAAAAATATACAATCTAAAGAAAAAAATAAACGCATAGTAGTAGTAATAGTGTAATACTGTATATCACTAAATTCTTAATAGGAGCTATATTACACTCGCAAAAGTAGAATTGATTGCAGGTACATAAAAAGGCTTTGTTATTATTTCTTCTCTTTCCCCAAATTAGAATATGAAATGAAAGGAGAGTGATATACACATAGTGTAGAAATATCAATAATATAAACAGTTTGATTTAAAGTGCACTCACAGTGTTCCAGCCCTACGCATTTTGTCCATTGCAGAACTTTGTCCGAGGGATACAAAGTTTGCATGAAGATCCTTTCCTCCATTCCCTTTTGTCAGGGTACCTTTGGTGTCTACCTCGGAGGAGGTTAGACACCTAGACGTCCATCCTCCCAGGGGGGCTGACTCACCCGATCCTTGCACTCCTCCCGGTCGTTTACACGCCGGCCGCGATAGCTCCGCCTCCTTTTATGACGCGGCGCTCAGTAGCCGACGTCATGACGGCAATCACGTTCCGACCCGTCAATCACGGCAACCAAGTGCCGAACAACCAATCAGGACCCGTTGGGGGCGGAGCCAACAGTTAAAGAGCCAAGGTATAAAAAAGGGTTCTGTGGAATGATTCATTGCCCTGTCGTGGTTCTAGCTAGTCTGGTCACTCAGTGCAATTACCTCTATTGTCTTTTGGTTCCTGACTCGGCTTGTATTTTGACCCTGCTTTCCTCTCTTGTCCTTTTGACTCGGCTTGTCTCTCGCTTACCTGATCTCTCGTTCCCTCGACCTCGGCTTGTCTCTGACTATTCTTTTGCTTTCTCCTTACGTTAGTCCGGCCATTCTAAGGTCCGGTATACGTACCTATCCCCTGTTTGTATTCTGCGTGTTGGATCCCTGTCACGATCCTGACATTACGACAGGGCCAATGGATCCTGCAGGTACAAACTCTCAGGTCGGTTCTCCTGACTCTAGATTTGAGGCCATGGATCATAGAATGGACCAGATGGCTCTAGCTCTGCAAGCTTTGCTATCTCGTCCTAGTAGTCACTCAGAGGAGATGCGTACCCCATCTATCTCTCCTATAAGTACAGGCCTAGAGGTAGCCACAGTGGCTACTTCTTCCCGTGTTACGTCCCCGTCACGCTATGGCGGCGCTCCTGACACTTGTCGAGGGTTTTTAAACCAGATAGGT